GGCGGACTCGCCGGATACGTGTCGAATCCGTGCAAAATCCGCGTCGAATCCACACCACATCCGCGTCGGTTCCGCATCGACCCCGCGTCCGGCACAAGAGAGAAGACTCCGATTTCGGGGGCAGGCGAGGCCCCCCGAAGATGCCACTTGAAAGGGGTGCCCCTGGTCGCAGAGGCGCGGCGGGCAGTCCTCGGAGCACGCGCTTCTTCCTGAGGGACCCGTCGCCGGCTGGGGAGATGTCCTCCACCTTCGGAAAGGGGAGCCAAGACCTCCGATGATCTTCGGCGTTCCTCCCCGGCCCTGCCCCTCGATCCTCCTCCTCGGTGCTCCCCCGATGCTCCTCGGCCTTCGACGATCTTCGGTGCTCCTCCTCGATCATCCTCGTCCAAGAAGGAGGCAGGGCTGTCGCGAATTAATATGGGGGAGAATGGTGCCCTCTTCAGTCCCTGAAGGCCCTCTCTGGGCTCTACAGGACCCCTTCAGGGGTCCTAAACGGCCCCTTCTGCAGCCTGCGCTGCTCCATCATACATCGCCCCCCAGTGCGCGCGTCCTCCGACAGGGTGGGGTCATAATCGGACCAAGAGAAATCGGGGATCTCTGAGATCCGGCGGCTGTGGAGGATGCATCGGGCGCCGCGGCCGTTCCAGAGGGCTCCACAACGCTCTCAGAGCAGTCCGAAACGCTCTTGACTGACTCATCCTGGCCCTGGGCCCGCCCGATCCTCGACCATCCTGCTCGATCCCCAAAGGAAGACAGATAGCATAGACATACACTCTCGGCGGGCCGCGTAGATCTCTTGGATCGGCGCCGAAGCCTCCTGGGCGCGCGGAGCGCGCCAGGGGCGGCGCCGGAGACGGAGGCGCCGCCAGGGGGCCCCAGGCGCCGATCCAGGAAATCCGCGTGGACCTCCACAAAGGTGTGTACGCAAGTCTCTCTGATTCGATCGGGCGTTGGCAGAACTGGGTTTAGTGGAACCTGGTTTAAAGATTTGTACCGGGGGCGACCCCCCGCCCCACTTCCACTAACCGGAACTGCCGTCACCCGAAAAACACCAGTTACGGCAAACCTGGTTTCGTGAATCTGGCCAAGTGAGGGGCCCCAGGACCCTACCACTGACCGGGTCCCCTTACCCGGGGTCCTGGCTATACCCGATTCGAATCTCCACTACTGCACTTCGCAGTGGCTGCGTTCTGGCGCGCTTGTGCTCAGCCTGGACATGTCTCCTGCTCCTGCACGAATTTCTCTTGTGTGGGTGTGTGATCCGGCTCCTCGGGGGCTCCTCCCCGTCGTCATGCAAAAAAAAAGCTTCGCGGATCGGGGGTCGAGTTTTCTTGGGCGCCGTGGGACGCCTCAGCGAGGTCACGGCGCTCGGGAAACTGGCCCGACAGGGGTGCCCAGGAGAGGGCCCAGTGACTGGTTCTGGGCGGAAAATGATCCACCCCCTCCACTGACGACCTACCAGACCACCCCAACCCAACCCGAAGACCAACATTTCGGGTTGGGGGGGGTACGGGCTTCATATGTGTTTCTTCAATGTTCCCCGTTCCCCCCCCCCCTACTGGAAATGGAGGGCAAGCGGTTTGGTGGGTGGTGACCCACGGGACCCCGAAACCACTTGGCAGGTTGCTGGCGGCGAGCCCAGGGGGGAAGTGAGAAGGAGAAGGCCTTCTCAAAGGCTCGGGAGTCCCCAGGCCTTCTGAGAAGTGTTTTAAGCCTTGCCCGAAGGCACAGAAAACCTCTCAGAAGGCCAGAGGCCTTCTGAGAAGTCTCGCCGCCTTTTAAGGTCTTCTCCTTTCACTTGCCCCCCTGGCTTGCCGCCGAGTTAGGGTTGATTGGGCCTCTGGCATCTGAGCGAGAGTTCGGTGTTGGGACATGCAGAATCCACATGCCGTACGGCAGACTCCGCACTTCTGATTTCCCGCAGTGATTCTTACACTGCAAAGCCAAACCCCGACCACACACGCCAACCGATGAAGGGACCTGCAGACCAGCACCTCCTAGACATACCAATTCTGACCACCCCCCTACGCCCCCCTCAAAAAAAACGGACACCATATTGGCGGCGCGCACAGGGGGGTAGGGGCGGGGGAAAGTTTCTTAGAAGGAGGCTGTTCCTTAGAAGGCTCCGGCCTATATCTATTATAGACGTCTCAAGACAAGGCCCGCGTCTTCTAAGAAGCAGCTTCCTTCAAAGAAGTCTTCATGTCCTGGCCCACCCGCACCTTCCAGGGCAACTTGGCGCTGTCGGACACCAATCGGCGATCAATGGGCGATTCGGGGTCGACGCATCCCCCCCTATGCCCATCCCCCCTATCGTTTCCCCCTGGTAGAGGGGGGGGGAGAAGAGGGGCAACGAGTCCCACACCCAAAGCGTCCACAAGCGTGATGCTGCCGAAGACTGCCCTGTGGCATGCGCACATCATATAGGGTGCCCCGCGGCCTGGACCACCTCCTTTAGCCCGAGCTCCACGAGGTAGGTGCCATCACCCCAGGCGTACTGGCCAGAGAGCTCCAACCGCACCTCTGGTCTGGCGCGGGAGAGAATGGGGGAAAGGAGGAGTGGGTTCGTTTGATAGGACCCAGGCTTAGCGAGGTCCTGAAGGAGGATACAAGGGAGGGTAGGCAGGTGGGAAGCGGGGGGGGGAACACAAGGGAAGGGGTGTGTGTGGGGGGGGGGGGCGGGGAAGTCGGAGAGTGGATGGAGGGGAGGAATGGATGGCGGAGCAGGAGGAGGGAGGAGGGAGGAGGGAGGGAGAGCTATGTGCGTATCTACATACATATATATATATATATATATACACATATACGTAGCACCCCGCAGTTGCGGATAAGAGTGAGACGGCGGCGAGGACGTCGTCAGTCTGCGAGGCTCTGAAAAAGCCCGCCGCAAGTGCCAAACTGTTACAAATTCTGCAGTGAGCCCGCCGCAGGCGCCGATTTCTTCGTTGAAGCAATGTGGGTGTATCGCGGGGTGGGTCGCGGGTAGGTCGCAAGTGGGTCGCGGGTGGGTCGCGGGCCGGGGTCGCGGATGGGTGCGGGATGGGTCGCGGGCCGGGTCGCGGTGGGTCGCAAGTGGGGTCGCGGGGTGGGTCGCGGGAGGGTCGCGGGGGGGGGTCGGGGGGGTCGCGGGGTGGGTCGCGGGGTGGGTCGCGGGGTGGGTCGCGGGGGTGAATCGCGGGCGGAGCGGGGTGGGTGCGGGGCGAGTCGCGGGGGGGTGGGTCGCGGGTGGGTCGCGGGGTGGGTCGCGGGGTGGGTCGCGGGGTGGGTCGTGGGGTGGGTCGCGGGGTGGGTCGCGGGGTGGGTCGCGGGCGGGTCGCTGGGCGCGGTCGCGGGGTGGGTCGCGGGCGTGTCGCGGGGGGGACGATGACAACAACAACAACAACAACAACAACAACAACAACAAAGCAGAATCCGCACCACGGATCCCCACTTCAGCCACGCACCCAGGGACAATGAATGACCGCTCGGCACCCTCACGCTGATATATATATATATATATATATATACACCAAAATTATATATTTATATATATATATATATATATATATATTATATATATATATGGGTCCTGGCCTATTCCCCCCCCTGCTGGAATCGATGTTTCGTTTTGGAGGGATTTCGGTCCACCGCAAACGCTTCACGCACGAATTGGGGGGGGGGAGTCGTTTCGTTTGTTCGGAGGTCCTTGGACACTCATCTCCTTGGCCAGGGCCCATATATGTATATACATGCATACTCGTGCTCTCCATTCCCCTCCACACGTTCCCTCACCTCGCTCTCTCAGCCGTCCCGTGGGCGCCCGCTCCGCCAGGGCAGTGATGATGGTGGGGGTTCGTGTGGTGGTGGGTGGTGGGTGGGGGGGGGGGGGGGGCGAAAGAAAACAAACAAAAAAAACAAAAAACAATGATTTGTTTTCGCCCTCCCCCCCGCCACGAGTCGGCCATCACAAGCGGCGCTGGCCGCAAGGGAGCAGCAGCAGGCCTCCACGGTCCCAGGTCGCAGTGGAGTGCAGCCGAGCACTCCAGGGGGGAGCACTCCAGGGGGGAGCACTCCAGGGGGCTCGCGTGGCTCAACTGACAGAAACGCACACGCGCGCGCACTCACTCACGCGCGATCGCATAGACGCCTGGTGGCATCACAAAAACGAACATCATGCATTGTGTTTGCTGATCTGGCTCAAACGGTTGATAGAAACAAGTTTGCACCACCTGGGCGGCGCGACGGCTGATGGAACGACCCCGCCGCCCGCAACCTAAACGTTGAAAGAGGGCGCGCGCGCGCTGAAATGGGGCGCATCTCTATTCGTTCGAAGGGCCCCAGGAGATGTTACAACAATCAATATCAAAGTCGGTGGCGCGGGGGCACAGCAGTGCCATCCGATTCGCAGCTCGTCACGACATGGTGCAACCATTTTCTTTCAACGGTAGTAGTAGTGGTTGTGGTGGTAGTAATAGTGATTATAACAGTTATGGAAGTAGCCGTAGAAGTAGTGGAAGTAGTGGAAGTAGTGGAAGTAGTAGTAGCAGTAGTAGTAGTTGTAGTAGTAGTAGTAGTAGTAGTAGTAGTAGTAGTAGTAGTAGTAGTTGTAGTAATAGTAATAATAGAAATAGTACGAGTAGTAAAACTAATACGGCCTAGTCGAAATAATAAATGTAATAATAGTAATCGAAGGAAGTGCAGTCGCAGTGGAACATAATGGTACTAGTACTAGTCGTAGAAATACACAAAATATGTGTATTCGCACTAGTAGCAGCATTCGTATCAATGGTAGCAGTAATGCTACTTGTGAGAGTAGTAGTAGTAGTAGTAGTAGTAGTAGTAGTAGTAGTAGTAGTAGTAGTAGTGATAGTAGTAGTAAAAGTACTAGTAGTAGTAGTGTAGTAGTAGAAAGAGTAGTTTCAGTAGTCGGAGCAGTGGTCGCAATAGTAATTAAAGTAGTAGTGGTAGTAATGGTAATAGTAGTCGTCGTCGTAGTAGTAGCAGTCGCAGAAGTGGTACTA